TAATATTATGTAAAAAATGCCATTAAATATTAAATAAATATGCCGAGGGTACACCTTATACATACTTGTAAAAAAATGCCACTACATTTTTATTACTACTCTTACATACATATTTTAAGAATTTGTACACAATATATTAATCATAGCAATGCGAAAGGGGCCTATAACATAAAGGCAGCCAAAACAAACGGCCGACAGAAAAAATTCCACACAGATCGGCGACAATTAGCCTAGAAAAAAAAGCACACGCATACCAAATAAAATCGACACAACAACAAATATTAATATATATACATACATACATATACATATGTACATGTATATTAGTTGCTGTGTGCATGGAGTGTGCCAAAAAATACATACTTATTTATTTTTTTGGCGTGGTTGTGTTAAAAAATATAAATTAAGAGAAATAAAATTCAAGATATATTAATCATAATTGTAAGCTTATATGGCATAACATAAATTTATTTCAAGCCGTTTAGAAGTCAGTACAAATCAAAAAGTGTGGAAAGCAAGTACGACATTTTGACATTTTCGCTGTCCAAAAATATAAACAAAATTCTCCCAGTTTTTTTTTTTAGCACCGGAACACTTTGTACTGATTTGTTTTGTCAAGAAAAGAAAAAAACAAAAAAAAAATTGTAATTGAAATTAAAATTAAAATTAATTTGTCGGTGCCCTATTATCGTAATCGTACAACAACAAATAAAATAATTTTATAAGCAAGCAAAAAGATAGGCGAAATGCAGTTGGTAACAAGTCGGGTAAAAAATAAATTATCAGAAGTCTAAAAAAAATATATAAGATGAAATGAGAGCGGCAAAATAAATTAATATGATAATAATAAACTTATTTATTTTATAGTAACTTTCCATTCGCTTTACTTACAGATACTAATAAGTACATATAGTATGTGCTTTCAGCGCGCTGTGTTTTTCTTTTTTTTTTTTACTTTTGTATTTACCTACTAAACTTTTATTTATTTTATTTGGTTTTTTTTTTTTTTTTGTTTTTGTGTTTGCTCTTAATCACCGCAACCTTGGCATTGAATAAATATTTACACGGCAGGGGATTAAGATGCAAATACATACATATGTGCACATAAATGCAAAATGGAAATGTTGCATAACTTTGTGTTTGCAAAGCGGGTAGTTAATACAGAGATATTGTACTATGCATGTTAGGGTGAGTCAAAAAAAGTCAATTTTCTCGCTTGGTGAGTTGTTTTTATTGTAGCGGCAGAATTTTGCTGAGTCCTGGGAATGGGAAAATTGCGTTCTTAAGAAAGTTTCATCAAGCATATGACTCTTAATTGTAACGGTAAGGTTCTTCGCTATACATTTTTCTACTTTTCCTTATTACCGGATAGAAAATTTCAAATCTTGCTGCCAACTAACAGAAAAAATATCTTGTTTTACAAATTTGTAGCGAATTGAATGCTGTTGAAAATGTTCTTTAACGAGTTTTTCGTTGACCTAACTGTTTAAAAGATATTAACGGTTAATACTTTGACTATCTTAAAACAATTTTTTTCCAATGAATTTTTGACCAAAAAACATTGTTAAACACAAAATATTTACAAAATGGAAAATTCATAGTTTTTTTTAGGAAATTTAACACCCTAAAGCATATAGTGTAACTATGGACCCAAACACACAAGAAAAAGTAAAATACGTAAATAAATTAAATAGATTAAATAAATATAATTAAATAACTTAAAAAAAAAAAAATTTTTTTAGAGCAAACCCCTAGTGACGTTAACAGATTATAAACTGCGAGATAGTGTAATAAAATAAGAATAGCAACTCGTCAAGGGTCGCTAAGGTGGCGTTACAAAGCCTATGCTTCCGTTTGTTTTCATTTGAGCAGGCTTAACACGTCACGAGAATGGTTGAGAGCACACACAACAAAACAGTGCAAAGTCACAATTGCAATTGTGGGCCTGCTTATACTATTCCGAGACATACAAAAGTTAAAAATATAAAATTTTGACTCAAATGTGTCAAAATAAAATGGATGCTAAATATAACTCAACGAATTTCCGTTATTTAGACGCACGCATTTCATAATTTTTATACAAGGCAAAGAGAGGTTGGGTATGTACTCCGCGCACAATCCGGCGATACTTACAATCCTTACTGTAAACATTATCGAAGGTGTCCTCCAACGAATCACATAAGCTGGGCGACAGCGAACTCTCCTTCTTGCAATCGATGTTTAAGCCGAGCAGTTGCAGCTGTCGTTGTTGCTCTTGCTGTTCGGCAGCCAACTCTTGTTGCAACTGCAAACGAAAATCACCGCAATGTGTCTGTTGTTGTTGTTGTTGCAAAGTTAAACCACCACTATCCTCCATACCACCACTACTACCAGCAGCACCACAATTATTATTCAAAATTGACAGAGTACCATTGCCAGAGCCACAAAGCAGCGCCGCCAATTCACTAGTGTCCGTACTATAAACACAGCTTGTATCTTGTAGTTGTTGTTGTTGCTGCTGCTGCTGATGTTGCTGTTGTTGTTGATGATGATGATTCACCGGTGGCGGTGATAGCGATGAAACGGTCGATGCAGGTGAAGAGCACAATGAATTGAAATGTGAGTGACTGATGTGTTGAGCATCATGATAGCCATTCAAAAGGTTGTGATTGCTTTCGCTAGTGTGTTGTTGTTGCAATTGCAATTGTTGCAACGTGGCATCGACATCCTTTTGATTGTTCAACTCTTCGCTGCCGAGGCCATTGCTGGCGCACCACATCAGATCGTCGGCAGTGAGGAGTGGCAAATCCTCTTGCTCGTTCATTGGAATATATGGCGCACGCATACTCATGTCGATGTCTTCGTCAACGCTCATCGTCATAAATGCAAATCCATCATCCTGACTGAGGGAGTTGGGACTGCAGAGCGATGGTAGACTGCTCGCTTCAGGACTCTGAAAATGCAAGTGAAAGAGAGGTATACATTTAGTAAGCTGTGTGAATAGAAAGATGGTTTTGTTTTTTTTTTTCAGTTTTGGAGAGTGATATTTGAGGTTATGAGAATTCGTTAAGTTGTTGGAAAAATTGATAGTAAAATTTTTTTTTAAGATTTCTAGCTCTTTTTTATGCTTTTTACTTTAACCCTAAAATTAAAAAATTAAAAAAAAATTAAAATAAATAGCAATAAATAATTTAAAAAACATTAAAAAGCAATTTCAAAAGGTAAAAAATTTAGCAGAAATAAAGACATTGGAAAATTTGAAAAACACTAATGACTATTTTAACAGAATAAATTTTGTATTAATATTATCATTTATTATTTATAAAACATACTCAACTAATAAAAACTAAAAGGTCATAAATTTTACAAAACTATTGAGTTTTATATCAATATTAAAAAAAAGTTAGGAAATTATGAAAACAAAAATTTTAAAAAATTAGGAAATATTCAAACAAAATCGATCAAAAAACTTCAAAAAAGATAAAAAATTAAAAATAATTTAAAAA